CCCCAAAACCCCAAAACCCCAAAACCCCAAAACCCCGAAGCTTATATAAATAATTGTATTTTTATTAATTTTATCATCTCCTCAATGGAAAAACAGAATGAACTTTCAGATCATCAAAAATACATTAAGAGGTAAATAAAGGCAATAGTTTGATTATAAGAAGCATATACTCAGAGATTATCAAAAACTTTTTTAATTCTTATCAGGTTTACTCATTTTGAGCTTTAAAATATCTGTAATTTGATCTAAAAATTCTGATGACAATTGATGATACTTAATTCTTAATTGATGAAAATCCAACACCTAAGTTTACACATGCTATAGTATGGAGAAGTCAATCTTGAAGAAGCAAAACCAAATCGATTGCAGAATGTCAACCTGTGCTCACTACAATTTTAGCAATAATTATTATTCTGGAGCCTCATTAGATTTAACATCTGACATATGCTCAAATAAAAGAAGTCTTTACTTTTATTTCTGCTATCTATCCTACTATAAATTTATCAAAAGCATTTCTCCTATTCCATTCTTTGATATGAGCAGGTGAACTGTATATCATATTCCTGGAAGAAATAAGCATATTCTGAATTTTATATCCTGATTGTTTCCCAACAAAGTGGATGATTTGTGGATAAGTTTTAGCACTCAACATAAAGTTACGATATTTCCCTATCTTCATGGAATTACCAAAATAACTCACAGGATTTTGAACAAGATGTGGATTGGTGATACATTCATTTCAATCAAGCAACTTAAAAGACTGTTTAGCGCAGTTAAACATCTCAAAGAATTTGGACTGTACAGGTGTACATTTTCGATACCAATCGTGTCTGATTTTTCAAAGTCATTGATAAATTGCAGAATCAGACAGCTCCAGCTAGTTGAACCAAAGTTAACTAATGAGAGACCATGGAAGTCCAATATTAAAGAGTTTGAAAATCTCATCAGAGGACTGGCTACTTCCCTTGATTTAAAACAAAGCTTAAAAGAAATCGAAATAAGAGATTCAGGGATATTTAAATCCAGAATTCAAGAATTACTATCTGCTAATGGTTTCACTAGCGTTATTTTAAGCACTGTTCCTTTTGATCCTTAAATGTGTTGCAAATATTTTTCACATGCTACTCTGTATGGGCCTTTTCTTGGTAATTTCTAGAGCAATTCTTGATCAATTTTAACTGGTTCCTCTGGATAGGTATCATAGGAGAGTCAAGGATGTTGTTATAATCGTTCGCTTCCCCTCCAAATTTGCTAGAGCAAGGGGAGTTGTGACCCAGGATCGTATCATTCTCCTCATGTGTGAAGTTTATATGTGTGGTTTTGAGATTTATAATCGGGCTTTCTAGTAACGTGGTTTTTGGAGGACTACAAAGACCTAAACACGTTAAAAATATAGGCTAGGTTGGGCTAGCCAGTAATGAAACCTAAAACTCTTAGAATAAATACTGAAATATCTCTGAACGATATAAAGCTTACGTATGTTAGTTTTGTTTCCTTCCTCAATAACTTTCTTTTTCTCTTGATCCTCAATTTGTATGGCTTTACCTCTATCGTCTAGTGGACCACCCTAGGTAAAAATGTGATTTCTAACCATTATTCAAGCTTTTTCTCCATATCACTTTTCTCTGGATGATCATTTTGCAATTTTCAAAAATAAACAATAAAAATGGGGTTTTGGGGTTTTGGGGTTTTGGGGTTTTGGGG